ATGCCTAATTTTGAATTTGTTCTTGCGATGGGTTTGCGGCTGGAATCCTAATCTCGCCCGAGATGCAGCACTCGAGGTTTCCGCAGCCTCTCCGCGCTGATAGATTCAGAGCATCCGAGAGTGCATATCTTCTGGTGTTCCGGCGAGCGAGAAAAAATTATCGGAGGAGCTGGAACGCCGGACTATGTGCCTGAAATCTCAAAGCATCGGGAGAAAACAGAAAACCCTCACCGAACGCCTCTTGCTGGTGCTGATGAGATATCTGATGAGCTCCTGCAGATGTGGGCGAAGGAGGACTGAGCTGCTGAGGCGAGCCTTCCAAGGAAAGGCCCACAGCTGACACCGACGCCATACGGAGCTGGAAGCGAAAGGAAATGAAATTTTGGAAGCACTCGAATTGCGCCGTGTAGGCTCTCAGGTGGCGCTTTCTCTTTCGAAGAGCTCGCTTGTTTACTAAGTATGATCGAAATCAATCCGCGAACAAGAGACTACAGGATCCAAGTTCCTCATACCCGGCGCTTCAGGTCGACTCTCCTCTCGGTCCTAATGAAGGGAAGCGACCGAGCGAGACACAGTCTGATACGATCGTGTACGAGGGTACATCGTCCTCGATTCCCCTCAACGGAAAAGGTGAAAGAGGCAATTTACTGAAATTTTGATATGACAGTCCTTTCGCTTGCTCTGGAACACGTATTCTGCGGTGCGAGGCCGGAAATTCAAGGTTCATCCTCCCATCAATGGGGGAATGCTCCGGGATCCGGAAGGACTGAATAACTTCCGGAGATGCGCCTACTCTATCGGAGCGTCTCTAGCGAAGGGAGGAAACTCCATCAGTCGAATGTGTCAATCAAGAAAAAACAGGCGGAACTCGGACGATGGTTCTCCGCCAGGCCCGGCCAGCGTGAATAAAATATGAACCGACCTTGGGATCGCAACGAGATTTCCCTGCTATCGGAGTTTGATTCATGTCAGAGGCGAGAGACCTGAATGCTGCTCAGACCTCGAGACGGAGGGTCGGACCTCGGTTTTCTTCGGGATTCTTCTAGCGCGGCCTATCTCCCGTAGCATCATTGGATCCGTCCATGTCCCTCGCTGATGATGATTCACATGAGATTCGCGCCAGAGCCCAAGACTGTACCATAATCAGTGCAGAGAGTATGTTTCGAAATGGAGCGCACCTTTGACTGCAGCCTTCTCCGACCTCCCAGCGGCTGGCGTCGAGATAGCTCAAATTAAGTTTCGCCAATCGGATACTGCCATCGTCCATCACGGGGCGATGGTTGGACGGGGCAAGTCAAAAGTCGAGGGAAAAACGACGGGGAGGAGCAGAATATTCCCAAATACTTCTCAAGCCCCCGGAATCGGAGAATATCCAGCGTCCCTGATTCGATACGACTGCGGCTCAGTCGTGAACTGGACGGACTGCACCGATTGAAACCGATACCCGGTAGCGGCTTACTGGAATGCTGAGACCGCAATGCACAGCGAAGAGTCTCGTCTCGCTCATCGGAAGCTGACGCGACGACGACATTGGAAGGTCGGATTCGAGCCGAATGGGTCCGATGTTGGATGAAAGAATGTCGCCGTGAGACTCGCGACGAGCCGCGTCAATTCGTGTGTATTCATCATCGATTTTCGACGATTTCTCTGATGCGACATTTACTGTAGTTCTACCGATTTTCTTGACGGAAACTGTCTCAGCTCAGGAAATGCCCTTGCCCTCGGCACGCTGCTCTGGCTGCTAGACTGATTCCTCTCGCGCTGTGGTATCCGCTCGTTCCCTCTACCTGAGGAGCAGTCATGGCAGGCTCGACGGTGTCTCTCTCCCTCGTAAGCATGGTCGGATTGGCCGACATTAGACTCAACTCGGAGGGGAATGCCCCCCGGAGGAAGTTCCAATCAGAAGCTCCCAAGCTCGATGGAGTTTGTGCTTCTCGAATATCAGTTTCATCGAGATCCCGGAGCTCGGGACGCACGTCCGAGAAGCGAATCTTTGTCGACGAGGTCCCATTCATGCTCGCTACTGACTGAGTTGTCGTCGATTCTGTTCTTGGTGTTTTTGTTCCGAGAGTCGACCGAAAAAAGTTTCTCGTGGTCTGCCTAGCGTGGATATTGCTTCTCGACGGTGAAAGAAGAATTGAGTTGAATCACTAAGAGACGGATGGAGAAGGCTAGTCGGAGCGCGTACGGACCATGACTGCCAAACGGTTGAATGGTGGCAGTGGAAACAGAAAGAAAGGAAAATCCATTCCTCAATCTTGCACACGTGCTCGCCGTTCACGGGGTCGGGACGAGCTGGAGAGCATTCGGCGCTCATTTATTCGGACGCGAGCCATACGCTATTGCGTGACATTTTTCCCATGGCGGAATAATCATGAATCCTTGATTCAAAAAGATTGATTGTGCCGGATTGTGTCGAGATCAGTTCGAACACGAATCTTCGCTCGGCGAGCGCCACCCCGTCCCAACGCAATGGGTTTGACGGGTGGTCAGTGTCGGCACGCGTCGTTTCCAAAAGCGTCCGAGTCATGAAGTCAGTTCTCAACGCCCGTCCGTTGATTGCCCCAACGGTCCCAACGGTAAATGGCATACGATGAATTACAGAACAACAAGAATGACTTTTACAAGGACCTCCTCTGGATGATCGAACAGAGCTGTGGGAGCTATGGATTGAAGGATGGGTACCGAGGCTCCAGCAGAGAATGCCCATGGGCAGGGACCGCGATATCGACGTATGTAGAAACGAGCTTGTCAGATAGTTCGATTGATCCCATCTTCATCTCTGGGCTCGGATAGACGGGACAACGCGAATTCCGCCACCAAACTGTGAAGGTTGTGCGAAAACTCAGCTCCCGAGTTCGTTTCGCGGGGATCATCTCCCCCTCGAGATGGTCTCAGCTTCAATTCGCCAGAAAGCATCATCGTTCCGCGAGTAGAAACTCTTGACGGACGTCATCCGAACAAATAATTCTAAGAAGCTGAACCGGCTCCGATTCGCTTGAGTGCAACGTTTACCTTCAAATTAATGGTCCGCACTTCTGAAGGGGCACACCGAATGTCAGGACAGCCTTTCAGGGGAACGCCGCGTCGAGCCCCAGCTCCGATGGAGCGCAGGTTTGTACCGAAACGCACTTGGATCTCCGGTCGAAATCAAGTCGTAGACAATTAGCTCCCGTTGGATGCCGAACGAGACTCTCCCGGAGCTCGAGACAACGCGATGGGGGTCAGCCGAATCTCAATCATGAGTTTCTCTAATCTCGCCGATCGTTGTCAAGCGACCACTAGTCCACTCAAACACCCAGGTCGGACAGGGACGTGGAAAGAAACGACAATGCTGTCCTCACGCTGACTGTCACTCCAAAACACAGGCTCTCGTTCGATCAGGGCACGTTCCAAGACCTATCAGCGCTTTGCGTAACGAGAAGAACGAACTAACCTGTTGCCTTTTGCAATCGTCCACCTTTGTATTATACAACAACAAGGCCCGACATTAACGGCACACAGTGAGGCCACACAGTACCCCTCAAGCGTTCTGCAGTCTCTTCACCCTCGCCACAGGGGCAACGCTAGCTTCGTGGAACCTGTTTCAGGAGCAGCTCATGGAGCGGCGTCAACCGAAGATCCTGCCTCGATCGTTCGCTCGCGTACACCGGCGCCTACAGCGACATAAACAGAAACTCGGAGGGGCTGTAACTTCTTTTGCACATGCACGGGAAGCGCGAGTGATGCGTGCTTCTGGCCGGCATCGCGTTTTCCTTACCCAATTATTTGAGGCAAACGAATTCCGCCTCAATCAAACTAAAGCAACAGCTCCACCACCTCGACAACGCCGTTCACCATCAATCAGCGGCGGCTCTCACCGATCAGCTCTCCACCACCACCGCCGCCACCGAGCAGCAGCGGCAGCAACAGATAGCGGTATGCATGGAGTTCGGTGTGTACACAGTTTTACGGCCGTTGGGCGAATTTCCGTCTACTTTCGTGGGTACGGTCGGAAAACCTGACGGGAATAATTCTGTATAATGAGTGGAGAGCCATACACGTAGAAGAGGAATGAAATTGAATATTAATTGAATTTGACGATGAGAAAGAGAGGACGATGATGCTGATGATCTTTCCTGTGAGTTTGAGCATGATCGGGCGATTCCCTTTCTTTGGTTCATATGAAGTACGACTAGCCGCTACGGGGAAGCTCACACGGCACGGCTATCAAGATTTCTCGGCTGTTCTTATGGAGCTAGCGCAGCGTCCAAGCCAGCAAGTCCCCTCACGAGGCGTCGATAGGGCATGGCGAACCTGAGCTGACGGCTCCGACCCTCCCGGGTATTAGCCACGGCAGCGCTGGGGACTCTCAGAGCCCAGAGCCGGCACGTTGAACGGGGAGCGAGAATTTCCGGGGGGCGACTGGTGCAACACGACCAATGCGTCGTTCGGAGCCGAGAAGCGGACGCGGGAATGGTCGCGGCGAACCTGGCCGTGACCTTTTAGTCAGCATCGTCCAGAGTCGCTATCGGGAAGGACATCCTCTGGCCGATGCCTAGGTCTCTCTGGGCCCATAATGACACGCGTGCTCGATTCCAGACCGAGACGCGGCAACCGGGGGGTTGTTTTTCGGCACCCCCGCTTCCCGCGCTTCAATCATGAGAGTCTTCGAAAAAGGACCTTGTATCCGGAAAATTAGGCTGTACACGCTTGTTTGAGAGACTTTGTAAATAAGCAGATCCCAAGCTTCTGGGTCGTACACACAGAGAGGGGGGACAAGAAGGAAATCGGGGGCAGGCGTAATCTCTTCTTGCGAAGCGGTCTCGACAGGCCCTCGATGGATAGTGGTGGATCACGCTAGAATAAGTCAGAGGTTTCCTGGTTGCGATTGATCAGGCTCTTATGACGCCCACCGAGGGCATTAATGCCCGCCCTGGAGGGACGTGGAATTCGTGTTCTCCAGCGTGAAACAGCTCGATCCGACGCGATCAGCCAGGGCCAAGCATTGACCAAGAAACCGGGGAAACGGTGGTGGGAAAAGCTGACGAGACCGCTCGATAGGGCTCGCAATTTCAGCAAAGATGAACAGCATCATTGTGTTCACTCTCCCCCTTACCAGATTTTGCTGCTGTTCAATTCCCCCCAAGTTCCGTGGACGGCTCCACCTGAGGCTTGACGCGAGCACGATTGTCAGGCATTCCGACTTTACGTTGAACCCCACGAAAATAACGGAACACAGCCCCTCGACTCGCACCTCAGGTCTCGCTACGGCTGACCGCTCCCGACCGCCGTCGTCGATTCGGCCAGCCGACCGACCAACCGAGCAGTAGCCATCCAGCCAGCCGAGCAGCAAAGCAAGCAGCCAACAGCCAGCCCTCCTCCCTCTAGCTGTTGTCCCAAGCTGAGTGTTTTAGTTCTCAGTGGTTCGAGTGGGTACGGGAAAAGCGTCGCTCCGATACAGCTCGCTGTAGTTGGGCTTTCCAGAGGAAAAAGCTTCGTGCGGGAAGCTCAGCCAGATACTTGGACTGAGGAAAGCAAGCAAAGGAGCCAGGAGATCTCGTCGGACGTAAGTAATCAGCCGTTCCGCGACAAGTTTTCCATGAAGATCCGCGGGCAATAGGTCTTGTCCGATATTTCGAATTCCGTGCTCCTATTCGCTCATCAATCTATTTTGTGATCACCGCTCTCGGTGCGAAAGCTCCGTGAGCAGTGCCATGACTCCTTGAGCTCTCCGATTATCTCTCGACTCGAACCTTTCCATGTCCAGTTCTGGAGTGGGCTCCCAGCACCAGAAACAATTTCGGACTCTGACTTCTGGATTCTGGCATATAGTCAAACTGGAGATACAGAACCGAGGACGGGGATTTAATTGACCCGATTTGCTCGTTCGATATCGCCTGAAAGTGTTCCTCTTTTCCATCTTCTACTGACAGAAAAAAAAGCTTAGTCGAGTGATTGATTAGGACGAAACGATTCCGGCTCTTTCCGAACGCACTCGCCCCAAGGGGACAAGGTCTGCGCGAGGAGCATGAATGTTCGGTATCATATGGTTCTCCGCGGCTGTTTGATCCACATAATCATGAAATCGTGGCTACCTTCCCACAATCGCTGACAGAAAGAGGAGTGAATGATGACGATGATTTTTTCTGGTGTCCCTCGGTCTGTCGGGCGGATTATATCCGTTTCACAAGACTGACCACGGAAGCTCATTAGAGGCACTGAGCGATCAAAAACCTGTCTTCTCGAGCGTACTGCAGTTCAACCGATTCATCATTCGGCCAGCTAATTGTCGAGAGAAATCCGGGCTGGTAGCTTTTACCTCTCCTGGTCTTTTCGCTTCCTCGTCTTCCTGAATGTGCTTCTCCCGAGAGGATCCTCTGGATCACACCAAGCAATCTAATTAAAACATCATTCATCTGAATTATTGTCCTCCTCGGAGCTCCGCCGCGAGCTGAGCTTAATCAGTTCCCTGCTCTTCCAGAAACAACTATCCGCACGAACATCGTACAGATACATACCGGGAAGGTGGCCGAACCATTATTTCGTGACATCCAGGCTACGGTAACATCGCAGGAAGACACTTCGGAAAGGACGCGAACGACAGAATGGCGGAAACCACGAGAAAAACGTTCCTGTTCTGTGATCTGTACGACAAGAAGTTCGAATCGGATATTTATTTGGCTCGATTGAAGAAAACTCCTGGTGAAAAGGTTCATGTCTGTACCGGTTGCAATGCTGCTTTTAATCAAAAATCTCATTTGGCTGCCCATCAGCGAACACATACGGGTGAGAAACCCCACTCCTGCATAAAGTGCGGAGCTGCATTTACCCTGAAAGCTTCCCTGAGACGACATGAGATCACCCACAATGGAGAGAAGCCTTACTCTTGCATCGAATGCGGAGCATCGTTCACTCGGGAGTACAACTTGAAACGACACAAACACACTCACACCGAGAAGAAGTTTTATTTCTGTAACCAATGCGGCGGCGCGTTCACCAAAGAATCGGGTTTGAAGAAACATAAACTCACCCACACAGGGACGAAACCCCATGTTTGTATCCAGTGCGGCGCCGCGTTCACCGAGAAGGGAACTCTGCGCCGTCATGAAGTGATCCACACTGGGGTAAAGCCCTACACTTGTCTACAGTGTGGTCGTGCGTTTACTCAGAAGTCGAGTTTGGAGCAACACAAACTCATTCACACTGGTCAGAAACCCTATATATGTATTGAATGTGGAGCCGCGTTTGCTACACGAAAATATCTGAAGCAACATGAACGCATTCATAAAGGCAAGACTTTCCAATTGTAACCAGGGTGGCGTCGCGTTCAATCAAAAGCCTAGTTTAGGAGAATCATCCATCTGTTGAAAGCCCCTCATGATGCTGGATTTTTTCGTCATAGATGCAGTCAAGTAATATAACTCGAGTAGAACTTTGCAAGAAGCAGCGAGCGGCCAGGAAAAGACATAGAAAGCTGTCCGTTCGACATCAAGCTCGATCGAGCGCCGAGTCCATCGAGCCGGGATCAAACGATTCCACATTTCGAATAACGAGCTCGGATTGCTTCTCATTGGAGTGAGTCATCTGTAAATAGACATACCTCACTAAAATCAAACCGTCATGAACGAAGAAGAGTATAGTGTTTTTCTTATGGCTTGGGAAATAAAATAGACGTTTTGTACACTCAGCCCTCGCGAGCTTCCTTCTCATCCGTGTAGAGCTGACTTCGCGATTCGGACTGCGCAGTCCAGTCCCCGGCATTCCCGTCGGTTCGTGAGGCTCGCCACCTCTCCAACAAGCCTTCCACAAGGTACGCTTGCCCGTCGCGGCAAGTCAGTCACAGGATACGCACCTCAGAAGTTTTCCGCGACTCGGCATCCTGAACAGGGAGATCATCCCTGTTGAGGGGGGCACTTTATACTCTAAGCAAACCCTGAAGGTCTGAAACATCTGATACAAGAAGGAAGGAATGACTCTCGTCGCAGAAGAAAACACATTTATTTTATTGAGAAGAACGACGGTATCACAGTCAGTTCACATATCCTAAGTTCTGTCTCAGAACCTTCCTGTGAACTCGGGTACGTTTGACATTAAATCCATCCAGTGCGTTTCGAGTTTATTCGTCGATTCCGACAGCAGTGACTCGCGTCGATTGTTCTCAACACGCGAGGACAGGTTAGCGGTTCCGAAGCGAACCGAAAGTTGAAGCCACCCAAGAACTCTTGCCGAGAACATGGAAGCGTTCTGGGAATGGCATCCGCAAGGAACACGAAGTCCAAGCTCGGGTTCCGCTTACGAATAGATTAAGAGGTGAAGTCCCGGTTAGTGTCGCGCACAATCAGGTTATGAATAAATAGGAGAGAGAAGCTCTCTCCGAGCAAAATGTACGTTTCAGTATATGATCAATAGCATCGTTTCACGTTCTCACGCTGTGCTTAAATGTGATGGGTTATCCTAGGTGTTCTGGATGCACACAATCCTTGGAGAAGCATACATCAAATTAAGCGTATCCGACGTCTAGGCGCACGCTCACGGAATATACTTGTGAACAGCCTCACCATCAATCACACATAAGGTCTTCTCCATGGAAGATTCACGTGGGTTCCAGCTTGTGGGTTCTATGTAGGAGTAGCTCGAAACGAAAGCAGAAAACTTGCGCTAAGCGCTAGCAGGGGCTGACGTTTGGGATTTCATTTCGTTCCGAGTTAGATCGCGACTAGCTGTTGGAATTTGGCTTGTTTGAGGAAGATACAAATCACGCAGTCGACATTGATACAGTCCACGTAGTGTGAGAAGAGCCGGCGCATCGAGAAGCAGCTCCGAACTTGGCAGCTCTCTCCGAGATAACATGTGGGTAAATGATTGAAGAGATATTTCAAACCCCGACAACGCGGTACCTTGCACTGCTCCATCTGTTCGCCGTTGCAATGTAGGATACTGTGGACTTGTTCTCTGCGTTGGCATTTTCGCACGTGAACAAACAATCGGAGCAGCCAGAAAGCTTTTCTTCTCTTCTCCGGATCAACCCCGGAGAACCCCTCGGGTTGAGCTTCCTCGAATGGCTCATCGCCGCCGAGCCCTCCCTCGATGGCTTCAGCGCTGCTGTCCACCAGGTCGAGAGCCTCCGGTTGGACTCCCATCTCTGGAATTTTCGTTCCTCTGAAAATCCAGCTCTCGAGGTAAGCTCAGATGATCCTGGTCTTCGAGATGAACACAACGGAGGAAGTCCGAGTGGAGAGTCCGCCGCGCGGCAAATCAGAGGTCGAGTGCAAACTTCAGTCGTGATTTTCGGCCAGTAGAGAACTTCTCAAGCACATGAGAGCTTTTGGCTGGCACAAAATATCGTCAGGCCCCGAATACTTCTGGACGGAGATCGCCTGCTGCTCATTCGAATTCTCCTCCGATCCCACACACTCAGCGGTGAATATTCGAAGTCAGGGATAACGTGCCCGGGCTGATAGATCCTGCAAAACGATTTCGGGTATTTGAAAGGAGAGATCGAGATAGTTCGGAACGACTGCATGGATCTCGACTCCGATGAGCTATCCTATCACTAGATGCGACGAGCTATAGTCTTACCATCAGCAGATTGAATACTCACGTGAGATGTTTCCGAAGATTCAATTCCCCTATTGGACCGGGAGGGATGGCGAGTTTTTTCACCAACACTAGAGAAGGAACACCGAAGTGGGAGCAGTTTGTTCGAGATCGACAGTGAGCAGCTTTCGGTGAAGTCTGGTTCTCCTCATTCCCCTCCACCTCCCCACGGAGTCTAAGATCGAATGCGCAAGGATCGCATCCTCGAACAGATGACCAGCCTCTGTTGAGCGATTTCAATGATGAGATTCTGGTGGAAGACTCGAGTTTGGGCCTCTTTCAGACGGTCCAAGAAAGCAACACTTTTCTATCATCGTATCCAGTACTGAGCCTCCTCTCAGAACGAGACCCGAGACCCGAGAGGAGAGAGGAAGCAAAGACACAGACGTGTCTGGACTGCGGGCAATGTCCATCAATTCGGATCCTCGCTCCACCATTACTGACCTTTGTAAATGAGACGTTCTTGCGAAGGCCACGCATCCGTGTGTTGACTATCTCACCGTGCGGAGCAGCTGAAGAAGCTCAGGCGCCACAGAGTGCCCAATGGATCCCGATCCTTCCGGCTTCTAGCATCAATTTGATGAATTGTAGCGCCACACACATGCTCCTCCGTCGCATGGTGTATTTTCCTCGTCGACGCGGAAGACGAGCCGCTCCGAAGTACGGGACTTGTCCTGCTATCCGATGCCGAGAAATTATATCACTGAGCTCGTGCACCCCAGTTCGGCCAGATTGGGACAGACAGTAAACTTTGGGTTGGGACTCGGGACGAGCCGCCTGGTCTGTTTCTTCTGCGAGCCGCCATGTTGGTTTCCGCGAGTGGCCGTTTCCACCCGGAGGGCGGGGGAGCGCGCATTTCGGAAGGGCGACTCCTCGTAGGACGATCTAGGCGAATCATGCGTTCCGGTCCGGTGGAATCTTTGCGACCTCAGCAGCTCATATCGATCGTATCGACAAGTGGAACCAGGAGCGATGGGAGCAGACTGGTACCACCTACCGAAGTTTTCGGTGGGATGATCCGAGCATGTACGTCCGAGCATTCTCTGATTCGCGTCGGAGACATCGGCTGCAGGGGAGGACCGTTCGATCGCTCGATGGAATTATCCCTAATAGGGAATTCACCATCTGCGGGGAGTTACCTTCATCATCACTCACATCTCGGTCCATTGTCTTCATTCGGCCCAGGGAAAAGCTGTGATGAGAAGGCGAAGACGCGAAGATTCGGTCGAGCCCCCTCCCTCGAGCAGAATTTCCCGACCTTTTCCCTGCAGATTGGATGGTGATGGAGTGCGCGGGAGTTCCAGCACTGCCTTCTACGATCTCAAGCACGATATACCTATCGGGGTTTTCGGATGCGGAAATGGGGTCCGATCCATTGGGATGGAAAGTCTTATGTGCAGGAGCGCCGGATGCTAGTTTCGGGAATCATGCCCCTACAGGGCGGCTTCTCGCGCCCGGAGGAAAATGTATATTGTATTCGAGGACGTGATCACCGAATGGTTGCGACGAGGGCAGACGGTTTTCTTGCTTACAGGCCAAGTAGAACAGTCTAGGTTCTAGGTAGTGGTCGCGATTCCCTCTATTTTATGCGCTCGAACGTATGCTCAGCCCACAATCCCTAGTCTGAACACTCTGGTCCCTTCGCCAATGAGCTCGTCTCAGTGACCGTCGATATTCGGAAAATGCGGCGAGAAGGTACGGATAAGGGCGTGTTGTCGTGTTCGAGCACGCAGCGCCCTCAAGTGAGCACGTTACCAAGCCTCAGCAGAAATCAGTCGTCGAGAACGGCATTCACTGGGACTTCGAGATTATTCCGATGAGCTCCCGAGCCTATGTAGAAGTATCTGAGCCCCCCCCCCCTCTAGATCGTACCGACAAATCGATGAGGCGACATCAAGCTGTGAATGACCCGCCGTTTTAGGAAATGATTGTCACGTGATTTGTCAGCTCAGGCTTCGAGAGACCTAGCAGCGACCACACCGTGGCGAGTCCCGGACAAAAAGGTCAAGTCGAGGCCATGCGATTCCAAACATCCGGCATTACTCGGAGAGAGTCTCTATTGAAGGTTCACAAGGTGATTCCCGAGCGACTTGTGGCTTTGAAGCTGCCTAGCCTAGATTCCTCGCTGTCCCAAAAGATGATGCACGTCGCTCTAACCCGCTCAGGATGCGTAACGCTTGCCGAGTACTCAGGAGAGCCTGGCATACCCACTCAGAGCAATGGGCTCGGAGCCTCCGTTATTCGATATCATCGTGAAGTGTTGAACTCTTGAAGCTGGAGTGGCCATAGGGTGGGATGATTTGGCACTTATTTTCCTCCACCTTCCAGCAATGTGAGAAAAATTAGTACCAAGTAAAGCCCGCCCTATCGATCGCCATATTCCCGCGACGACCGTCGCTTCCCTTAACAAACTGGGAAGCCGAAGACGACATGCACCTCGCGTTCCGGATTCAGGTTAGTCACGCACGACACAGCGAGATCCTCCGCTTTCCGCCAGTGAACGCTCGACTCCGATGTCGGATCGCGCTCACATAGCTTCAGCTTGCTTGTGTGCCTGAATGTCGCTGCATGAAGTTTCCGGAATTGTTTCCAGAAACAGAATCGCCTCTTTGGCTGGCGTTTGTTGACCTCAGACATTATATTCAATTATTCTGAATGGATGCGATGACTTCCACTCGATATATTGAGCTTCTAGGTCGTCCCGAGCGTGTCTAGGTGTCGACCACGGCGTGATTCCGGTGGAACTCGCAGAGAGAGTAATGTCCCAACCGATCATGAGGATGAAAATCGGTCCGTCGTCTCAATGATATAGCATTCATATTTTATTCCCTAACCCAATTGGCACGACCGGGATTACCCCGTCATCGCGGCCGCTACGAATTCTCAGTAAAGTGCTTCATCTAGGATTCTTTCAACATCAATAGCGGGT